CTAGCTGACACGGTGGCATTTGGCAGGACATACAAGATTTAGGTTTTCCATTTTCGTGTTTTCTTTATTTCGCAGTTTTCTCGGATTCCTTTAAAGTTATCGCAAAAGTGCTCCGTTTCACTTTTGTAGCCATGGCGTAGGGGCGTAAAACGCGCCCTTTCCGGAGTCTCTAGCTGACACGGTGGCATTTGGCAGGACATACAAGATTTAGGTTTTCCATGTTCGTGTTTTCTTTATTTCGCAGTTTTCTCGGATTCCTTTAAAGTTATCGCAAAAGTGCTCCGTTTCACTTTTGTAGCCATGACCTAGGGGCGTTAAACGCGCCCTTTCCGGAGTCTCTAGCTGTAACGGGTGGCATTTGGCAGGACATACAAGATTTAGGTTTTCCCTTTTCATGTAGTTTCGGTATTTCGGAGTTTTCTCGGATTCCTTTAAAGTTATCGCAAAAGTGGTTTTATACGTTTGTAGCCATGGCCTAGGGGCGTAAAACGCGCCCTTTACGGAGTCTCTAGCTGTAACGGGTGGCATTTGGCAGGACATACAAGATTTAAGCCTTCCCTTTTAAGTGAGAAGGGGGGACCTTTTGGATTTTAAGAAAAAAGCTGGATTTCAAGTTATCGCTTCAGTGCTTCTACACTTGCAAGCCCACACCTAGGGGCGTCTAAATGACGCAAGCCGGAAGACTCTAACTGTAACGTGTGGCATTTGGCAGGTATCTTAAGATTTATTTTCACCCCTTTTTCAGGCAGTTTCGGTATTTCGCAATTTTCTCGGTCTTCCTTTCAAGTTATCGGTTCAGAGCTGGTTATACACTTTCAAGTCCACACCGAGGGGCGTACAACGCGCCCTTTCCGGAGTCTCTAACTGTAACGGGTGGCATTTGGCAGGACATACAAGATTTAGGTTTTCCATTTTCGTGTTTTCTTTATTTCGCAGTTTTCTCGGATTCCTTTAAAGTTATCGCAAAAGTGCTCCGTTTCACTTTTGTAGCCATGGCGTAGGGGCGTAAAACGCGCCCTTTCCGGAGTCTCTAGCTGACACGGTGGCATTTGGCAGGACATACAAGATTTAGGTTTTCCATGTTCGTGTTTTCTTTATTTCGCAGTTTTCTCGGATTCCTTTAAAGTTATCGCAAAAGTGCTCCGTTTCACTTTTGTAGCCATGACCTAGGGGCGTAAAACGCGCCCTTTCCGGAGTCTCTAGCTGTAACGGGTGGCATTTGGCAGGACATACAAGATTTAGGTTTTCCCTTTTCATGTAGTTTCGGTATTTCGGAGTTTTCTCGGATTCCTTTAAAGTTATCGCAAAAGTGGTTTTATACGTTTGTAGCCATGGCCTAGGGGCGTAAAACGCGCCCTTTACGGAGTCTCTAGCTGTAACGGGTGGCATTTGGCAGGACATACAAGATTTAAGCCTTCCCTTTTAAGTGAGAAGGGGGGACCTTTTGGATTTTAAGAAAAAAGCTGGATTTCAAGTTATCGCTTCAGTGCTTCTACACTTGCAAGCCCACACCTAGGGGCGTCTAAATGACGCAAACCGGAAGTCTCTAACTGTAACGTGTGGCATTTGGCAGGTATCTTAAGATTTATTTTCACCCCTTTTTCAGGCAGTTTCGGTATTTCGCAATTTTCTCGGTCTTCCTTTCAAGTTATCGGTTCAGAGCTGGTTATACACTTTCAAGTCCACACCGAGGGGCGTACAACGCGCCCTTTCCGGAGTCTCTAACTGTAACGGGTGGCATTTGGCAGGACATACAAGATTTAGGTTTTCCATTTTCGTGTTTTCTTTATTTCGCAGTTTTCTCGGATTCCTTTAAAGTTATCGCAAAAGTGCTCCGTTTCACTTTTGTAGCCATGGCGTAGGGGCGTAAAACGCGCCCTTTCCGGAGTCTCTAGCTGACACGGTGGCATTTGGCAGGACATACAAGATTTAGGTTTTCCATTTTCGTGTTTTCTTTATTTCGCAGTTTTCTCGGATTCCTTTAAAGTTATCGCAAAAGTGCTCCGTTTCACTTTTGTAGCCATGGCCTAGGGGCGTAAAACGCGCCCTTTCCGGAGTCTCTAGCTGTAACGGGTGGCATTTGGCAGGACATACAAGATTTAGGTTTTCCCTTTTCATGTAGTTTCGGTATTTCGGAGTTTTCTCGGATTCCTTTAAAGTTATCGCAAAAGTGGTTTTATACGTTTGTAGCCATGGCCTAGGGGCGTAAAACGCGCCCTTTACGGAGTCTCTAGCTGTAACGGGTGGCATTTGGCAGGACATACAAGATTTAAGCCTTCCCTTTTAAGAGAGAAGGGGGGACCTTTTGGATTTTAAGAAAAAAGCTGGATTTCAAGTTATCGCTTCAGTGCTTCTACACTTGCAAGCCCACACCTAGGGGCGTCTAAATGACGCAAGCCGGAAGTCTCTAACTGTAACGTGTGGCATTTGGCAGGTATCTTAAGATTTATTTTCACCCCTTTTTCAGGCAGTTTCGGTATTTCGCAATTTTCTCGGTCTTCCTTTCAAGTTATCGGTTCAGAGCTGGTTATACACTTTCAAGTCCACACCGAGGGGCGTACAACGCGCCCTTTCCGGAGTCTCTAACTGTAACGGGTGGCATTTGGCAGGACATACAAGATTTAGGTTTTCCATTTTCGTGTTTTCTTTATTTCGCAGTTTTCTCGGATTCCTTTAAAGTGATCGCAAAAGTGCTCCGTTTCACTTTTGTAGCCATGGCCTAGGGGCGTAAAACGCGCCCTCTACGGAGTCTCTAGCTGTAACGGGTGGCATTTGGCAGGACATACAAGATTTAGGTTTTCCATTTTCGTGTTTTCTTTATTTCGAATATCAATAGAGGCGAACTGCAGCCATGTAAACGTCCAACTCATTACTGGACGACATCTAGGAAAATGTGACACGAAAATGTTACTTCTCCTAGATTCCGCAATCATAAATATAGTTACAATTTGCATACGTTTTTCGAAATTTGTGTCAATTTGTTGTCCAAAGTTTCTAATAAATTCGACAAAAACTGCGTAAAATGCTGCCCCGTTGGCCTGTTGTCTGCTTGTTTTTCCATTTCAGGGAGAAGGCTGCTTGGAAATGGATTTTTTTACTGGTTTGACCAAACGCAATGTCGAAACTGTCTTTCAAATTCCAAGTTCTTTGGTCTCCATCTATTAAATAAATTTTAAAAAATCCTTAAAAACTTTATTTTCAAAAAAAATTATTCTCGAACGTTTACGAGATTCGACAATTTCTATCCCAAAAAATTGACCAAAATTTTAAAAAAATTTCAGGTGAATTTTTTTCTGTTTTCATATTTTTATGAAGAAACAGTACTGAATAAAAATTAAATATTTATCATGCAAAATAATTCGTAATTATTTTCTCTTCATAACTTTCCCCTCACCTTCTTTCCATGATAGCAATAAATACAGGGCCACCATCAAAACGAGACAAATTAGCCCATTAATCTCCAAATAGAGGATAAAACCCCTCCACAACATGTCCCCCTCAACGATGGAAGACGTCGTAAAAATCTGCACGGGTCTGATCACCACCACCACCAAAATAAATATTATGGTCGTTACTCCCGTAATAATTTTCTTTTTCGAGGTGGATTCCACCTTTTTATTAATTTCTTCTTTAATTAGTGCAGGATGACTTAATTTACGCAAAATACTGATCGAATTTTTCCTCCCAGTCGTAACAGTTAGTGTAACTTCTTCCATGATTTTAAACTAAACGAGGTAAATTGCGAATCAATAGTTTAAATCGACACAACACTGTTAGAAATCCGGTATAGTCACGCAGGTATTGATTTCTCGGTATTAAAGTTGCTACCGCTTGGTATTAAAATTATACCGGTGAGTAAAAATTTGATACCGATATTGTAAAACTTTAATACCGGGTTATTACCACACGGTATTATTTATCAATACCACGTTGGTAGAGTCATATATGAATACCACCTGGTATTATTTTAATACTGGATTTCTAAGAGTGAATATTTACTAAGGATTTATTTTTATCTTAGTGTCTCACTTGAATACGATTTTAAATTTTGTTAAGTTTTTGTCTTTCCGTATTTTTATAAAGTTAACAAGAACTGTTAGAAATTAATTATGGCACGAGGTTTTTAATACCACGATTTTTATCGAATTTCAAAGTTTAAACCGTCAATTAAAAAACCAGCTCTGCTCTCTGCATCACGCTTAATTAATCCTTGATCAGATTAAATTCGAAAATTTAATTAACAAATAATTAATGAATTTCAATGTATATTTCTCTCATATATTTTGTACTGTCCCGAGATACGGCAAAATATTAGATGACGCAGCTGATCCGGGAGAAAGGGTAATAATGAGAAAGTGCGTACAAGGTGGACATCATAGCAGAGAGTGGGTAGTGAGATGGGTTAAATCAATAAAGTGATGACGCTCTGCTTGAAGGTAGGGAAGACCTTTCCACTTCTCACAATGTGTCATAAGCAATTACAGGTATAGACAGGGAAAGCTCCCCAATGCATTTCTCGCCTCGTCGATGATACACAAATATTATGGGAAAACTTGGCTCCTAAATTTATTATTGACTAATTTACCTGTTCACGCTGTCTCATTTTCTTAATTTTAAAATGAATTCTTTGTTTACTCATTTTTGTCCAACGCAGGGTTTTTGGTGAGACGTGACGTCACTATGCACTGTATTCGCTTATTGATAATTATAAGTTGTAGGAATTGCAAGCTGTCAAAAATTAAGTTGTAACTTCAATTTTCCTGTCTTATCAAATTTATAAGTGATGGTCCATGAGTGTGAAGGCGGAATCTTTAAGCGGCTTTCTAAATATTGACATTTTGACTTTCCATAAATTATTTCCTTATTATGTCAATCTAGTGTTAAATATTGAAATAACTATTTTGCTATGAACAAAACATGTTTTATGGATATAAAAACTAAATATTATCTCCCAAACTTGTTAAAATGAATACACCACACTTATCATTGTGCTGCATAAATAGATTTATTTTTTATGGAAATCCAATCATGTAAAGAAATAACATTATTCCATGTCTGAAAATATTTTTGAAGAGATAGATAATCTTGTTAATTTTTATGGCGATCCAATCTTTGCAATTAGTTTGAAGGAATCACTTATATATATATAACTTGACATTAGCATAATCGTTGAATTATACCGTCTCCCATTTCTTACTGCATTTGGTCAGCTCCGCATTTGGCAAACCTTTCGGACAAACACAAATTGATCTTGCTTTACTGCCATGACAAACTGCTCCTTAAATCAGGTCGCAGTTCGCCCCGTTTCCGCTGCATGGCAGTCCAATCATGGATGGTAAACATCTATCCGCCCTCCCTGTGTTTGGCACATTGTACAGTGGGGCACACTGACACGTCGAAATCCCACCTTGCCCCAAAACACACTCCGAGAAAGGAATGTTATTACACGTACTGACTTCGTTGCATATCTCCTCGACAATCCTTGGAGCGTGGAAGCATGATCTATTCAAAATTATAGAGGTGGGAGTATGTCACCTATTGATAAATATCCGCACAAATTTAAATCCTACCTCTCATCGACGTTAGGATACGTCCCAGGTTCACATACACATTGACCCTCTTCGCCACAGATTGCGTTGGGAATATTATCCTCACATTTCGCCAATCTCGTACACCTATCCCCTAGTTGGACCGGTTTTGGGATGCACTCAGTCATATCATCGCTGGGAACATACCATGGTGCAAGGCATTGGCAAGTGTACGGAATTGCAGCTTCGCGGTCACACACCGCCACACCACTTAATATGTAACAGGATAGCGTATTATTTTGAAAGAGACAGCTCTGGCCTATCCTCGTTGGAAGGGGGACGCAACCATGGCCCGGAATATCTGGTGCATACGTTGGGCAATAGCATCTCCAACAACCACATCCGCCTATAATGGCAGCGTGGTAGATGCAGTCCATGATGACCCCGTTGGTGAAGGGGCATAAGGCAGGGTTACCGGCAACGCAGTGTTCACCTTCACACCTCACTTTTTCCAGTATGGTCGCCCCGAAGAGAAATATGATGTAGAAAACGTGTCTGGGCGTCATCTTTTAGAGTGAATTTTCGATTTTCTAAAGAAATGGGGAAGAATTGTGTTAAATTACCATTATTCTGTATGAATTACGACAGAAAATTACACAATCATAAATACATATGTCGTAATTTACGACATATCTATTTATGATGTGTAGTTTTCTGCCACCAGCGACACAGTTATACAAGTATATTGAATACATTTTTCATTAAATTAACTTTTATTACCTGATTATAGATCAGTGTTTCGGGTGCAAGTAACCACTTGCAAGAAACGACTGCAAGAAAGTGGTTTTTTTCACTTTTTTTCACCCGCAAGAAACGCAAGAAATGCAATGGGGTAATGTGACACCTGTTATATATTAACGGCTTAACCCTTGACAATTTGCAAAGTATCTTTGCAGATCTGAGTTCTACTTGAGATTCTGAACATTTTGATATGTAATACGACATATTTTGAAAAATGTTTATGTTTAACATGCATTCATGTGGGAAATTCCAAGATTTTTCAAAATATGTCGTATTACATATCAAAATGTTCAGAATCTCACGTAGAACTCAGATCTGCAAAGATACTTTGCAAATTGTGAAGGGTTAAGTCGTTAAAGGCGAAACAATACGCCATAAGTTATAACAGGTGTCACAGTACCCCATTTTATTTCTTGCACTTTCTTGCGTTTTTTGCGTTTCTTGCATTTTTTGCAGTTTCTTGCAGTGCACTGCAAGAAATGTATGGGACCCGCAAGAAACGAAACACTGTTATAGATGTCGACTGCGAAACAGACTGGATAGAAGGGAAGGAGTTAACGTCGCTTTTATTCTGTTCTACCCCAACAATTTGCATGATGACGTGGGAGCGAGATGATGTTGCGTAAATTTATCCTAATTGGACTTCGTAATTGGACTTGTCAATTTTATCTCAAATTGGGATAACAACTTACAAATATTTTAATTAGACTAATATCACGAGTTTTGAGCAGATGAAACGGACAAATGCCGTGTTTGATAAAATAAAGTATGACCGGGTCTGTTCTAGTGTTCCCAACGAGGTCGAGACCGAGATCTCGAGTAAAAGTTCGAGACGAGCCAATTTTCCTTCCCGTATTCGATTTTTGTGTTTTGGTTGGAAAAATTTGCATCGGTTTCGACGGGCATAATAGGCCCCTGTAGTACAAGATACGCCGTAAAACGGCCGAAAAACACTATTTTTAAACACTAATATTTTAGACATCCCGCCATAGATCGAAAACACGGAAGATTTCGATATAGTTGTAAATGGGAGGAATCTAAGCTTGACCTTCTCTGATAAGATTCCGATTTGTTTTAATAACAAAAATAAGTAGGAATACGTATCCGTTGACATAATAGGCGAAAAGTCAAAATTTAGACATTTAGAATTTTCGCGCCTCAGGTAGTTATTACAAGAAAAAAAGTTCCCACCAAGAGATGTAGCTATTCCACCGCTCGATATAACCATGTCATCTGTTTTTCTCTATCATGCACCCAACGTGCATCAAGCGCTAAAAGATCGGTATTTCAAAAAGTTTCGAATAACGGTATGCGTTCCTTATACGTAAATTTGAGAGATGGTCACAAAGCTCAGATATCGCTAAACGAGCTTTTTGTTTAACATTGTCGTGTCTGCTGATAAATGTACTATACCCCACATTCAGCTAGTGGACGTGGATGGAAAAAATATAAAATCCCATCTCCAACCTTTTATCTAAAATATTTTAATTAAATAGATATCGTAACAATTTTAGGTCATAATATACGAGGTTTTACTAATTAGATGCATGTTCGAACTTAGTGTTTGCATTTTAAAGAATTAAAATCAAACATTCACTCGTGTCTTCTACATATCTGTGTTAGTTGCTGTTGAAAAATTATTAAAATAAGTACTGCAGGTTGTCAGGACTGGAACATATATTATTTCATATACGAAATTTTGTCTATCTTAAACCCCATACTTAACAAAAATGGAGTTTTTATTATGACATTTGATTTATTTATTTACTCATTTTATGAAAGAACGTGGCAACTAAAATAGAATCTCTAGTAAATTACTTACATTCCAGAGCAACGTTCGCTCACAATGGGGTCGCCGGTGAGATGAGACCATCTTAAATCATCTCATGATTAGACGAGTTTAACCGCTGATCCAGATTAGTATAACTTTTGTCAAAGAAAGTCACTTCTGTACAAAGTTATAACTTCGAAATTTCAGGAGGACTGACATATCCCACTCCAAGCAGTTTAGCTAGGGGTGTCACTTAAAAAATAAAATTGGTCGGTACACCTCTCGTTTTCCAACAGGAAGTTTTTGAAAATCGTCAAAAATATAGCCTAAATTTGCACACTAAAAACTATTTAGTTTCATTTGCGGAATACGGAAATAAAATGTTTTCTTCTCTTAAAGGGTTTCCGAATGGTGTTGAAATTTGTTTGTATTCGTGAAGCTACCAGGTTTCCTGGGAAGTTATATTTATTCCGCATTTTTAGTGAATGAAGAAATTCCTTCAATTAGTTGGAAATTGACAAATATGTATAGAAAATCCAAATTGAATTTCAAAAAAAATTGTTAAATTTCAACGCCGAAGAAATATTTGATTACCCCAAAATTAAAAGAAACTACTAAAGCTTCAACCATGTTATTGTTGTGCGCTGTTTTACATCAATTTATTAAACCAATCCGGTACCTTAACAACTAGCAAAGATATCATAGATATCACAAACTGCTTGGAACAATACAAGTAATTATTATCATTCTTTATTAACACAAGTGGTGTTACACCACTGACAAATTCGTCAAATTTATAAGAAAGTTTAAATTCAACGCACTTCCTCATATTCGCATTCCACTCCAATCTGTCCATCCGGCACCATTTTCTCGAGTTCTTGTCCAATCAGGTGAATAATTTCGGAAAATTCTGGCCTACTTGCAGGATCGTTCTCCCAGCAGGAATTCGTCAAAGCGTAACTAACCAAGAAACATGCATTTTGATGTCGGATTTAGTATTTTATTTAATTTAACTCGTACACACTCACCACACATCCGGACATCCGTTTGGCCGTGGGGGTCGCAACCCGGAAGACAGTGCTTGGATGAATGCCTCGTTCCAAGTCAAAGTCGGATATGGTTGGTCACCAAGACTGAAAATCTCCCAGATTGTCACCCCGTACGACCACACGTCAGACTTGACCGAGAATTCGAACGCTTTCAGAGATTCGAGGGCCATCCAGCGCCACGGGAGGGGTGCCTGGACACACAATAATTATGTAGATAAATTTAATTCTCAAAGTAAAAAGTCAATGTTCACCTTGCTCCTTTTGACGTAATTTCGATAATCATATAATTTCCGGGATAATCCGAAATCACTTATTTTAATCGACAACTGTGAATCCAATAGACAATTCCTGGCCGCCAAATCGCCATGTAGTACCTTTAAAAGAAAATATCTATATACTTTAAAATCAAGGCTAAATAATACTTAGATTCTCACATTATTTCCTGCTAGGAACTCCATTCCTTCCGCGATCTCTTTACACCATCGGACAAGTGTAATATTACCGAAGAGAGTCGTATTTTCATAGTTTCCGCTGCTTGAAATAGCATCTCGCCCTTCGAATTGTGTCGCATGATCACGAAGATATTTAAGAAGACTTCCGTTCTCACATAATTCCAAGATTATGCTTACTTTCCCTGCTCGCAGAGAATTTAGTAGAAATATAAAATCGAATTAAATTACCTCCATTCCTACTTACCCCTTCGTATCTCTGTAATGCAGAATCCCAAAAATTCGACGATATGCTTATGTCGTCCAACGAATAAGTTGATCTTAATTTCTGCTAAAACTGATCGAATCTGTTCAATCGTAATGCCAATTCGTGGCGTCTTAATGGCCACGGTTTTCATCACAGGGACACCAGTTAATTCGTCGAAGCCTAGATTTAACACTCCTTGCGCGACAACGCCGAATGCCCCGCTCCCCAAAATAATGACGGCCTTATCTTCCGAGTTTGCTAAACCGAAGGGATATAAATTTATTAAAGTTAACTAATAATAGTATATCCACAATGTACCCACCATAAATAAAATCTTTCGGCAGTATTTCATACTTTCGGTCGACCGCCAAACCTTGAATTTTATCGTCATCATTGGCACAAATGGAATTACTGCCGTTGTAAAAGGACTCGATTTCTGCTTGCGGAAACTACGATCTTTTCGGAAAGTATTTTAAAAGCAAGAATAAGACCAAGGTTCCAATCACTATTGTGACAATTACGCCCAATCCGATGTAAAGGAGAACAGTTTTGGTGTCCAAACTTTTCCTAGAATTATAGTTTAGGCTTCGAAGATCTTCACTCGGTGACCAGGGGTAGTCTTCGCAACTTATCACGGATCTCGGTAGATATTCAGGATTTAGCCAGAACGGGTTTTCACTTAATTTTATATTTACTACTCCCTCAATTTGCGAAACGTTGAGAAACGACGGCCTAACGTTTGTTGGCTTCATGTCGCAGCGCTCTTCGTTAAAGAACACAACACAGACATTTTTGGCCGAAATGAGTTGGATGGGATCATCTTCGTAGTCCAGACGGCGTCCAAAGGATTCGCACGATTTTATTTCTGTGTATGCTTGAGAAATTTCTAAAAAATAGGAGTATTTTGGTACATATTAATTTTTATGAACCGGTATCAGACATCGCTAAAGTGACCAAATATAGTAAAAAGTAACAAAAAGCAGTTGTTCAAAAATTTCCAAAATATTTTGACATCATTCCCCTGTCAAACGATAGCTACTTTTGCAAAATGTTCAGCCAAGCGTGCCTCTAGTTCTAGGAAGAAGCCCCAAAATTAAAATGTATTTCGAAACTCCACAATATATTCTCCCCAGATTAAAGTATCGCCAACGCAAACATTTCAAATATTTTTCTTCCAACCATTACTTACCTGAACTAAGAAGTATCACGATCCCCCTATCAGGATGATGCTGCACATCATCGTTTTCCTCTTTCCAAACTGATTTCTTACTTAAAGATGAATTGCACCCGCTAAACGATCCGACTCGCGGAATTTTTCTATAAGTATCGGCGAAATTCCACCATTTCGTCAAATTACTTGCGTCAAAGGATGGCCGTATGCGGACCGTTTGCGCGTAAGGGGAACAATTAATATCAAGGTAAAGTTGGACACACCCTTGGTGCACGATTATCGAGGTTATTTCCCCTGCCCGAAAATAGTACGGGATTTCCCAGCAAGTTGAAATATCTGGATTTGTCCTGTGATCAATTGTCCAATTCGAACCTGCACGGAGAATTTCGAAACTTCGACGATAAACTAATATAATTGTATGAATAACTTGTATACTATACCGAATTGAGAATTATGCATTGTGAAGCTAAATTCTGCCCTGGTGTCATTTATATGGTCAGGGTCCACACACTTTCTAACACTATGAATCTCTCCGCGCGGATTTAAAAGTTTTAAATTTCTTAGGACCGGTGACCCTGAGTATAAAATGTCCCCATGTCCAGTAACACAATTAAAATCGGTAAACATGGCAATGCAGTGGCCTCCGGTATCCATTGAACTATATTTTATAAGCGTATTATTTAATTGTTGACAGCCTGATATTCGAAAGGTAACATTTTTTCCTGCAATTTAGAGTTCGTCATTTGTTATTTCCATAATTAATTCTATAATATCTGGTAACTATGGTACCCCCGTATTTAATTTAGTTTATATGGAACTTTTAATAAATAATTTACTCTGATACCTCTAAAGACTTCACTCGAATATAAAACAAGTTCCAATATTTCCAATGTGTCGCCATACAATCCTTGCAAAGTCGCGCGGTAAGATTCAGATTTTAAAACGCTGACGCACAACATTAATGACTTCACTTGGAAATAACTTCCACCATTGTCGTCACCATTGCTGAAATCAATTGTCACATTGTCCAGGATTGTCGGTCGATGCACAGTGGTGTGATAATTGCAGAATTTATTAGGAAAATAGACAACGCAAGAATCAAGGTGTTCTATTTGAATGACTCGGGTATCCGTATTCTTCAGAGTATGGCACGAGTAATAAAGGTCGTCATAAAGATCTACGTCTATCAGCGATCCTGCAAAAATTAATTGATAAAATAGTACCTACTTTTCATAAATGTATGGCGTAGTCGAAAAAGGTTGCGACAATATCTCCAGTTTCTGTTAAACCAGAAGTTGGTGAATATTTTTGTCGGGTTACAATTTTTTAATATGGCAACTAATTGATGACCATATAAGAAATTTTCCGCTAATAATTGCTCCCATCTTGCACATCCTCTTTCAAATACAAAATTTATACAGAGAAGCCGTTACGAGGTAAATAAAGTTAATACTAAAATCCAACAATTATTTAGAACGAATCCAGCTTGACGAAATTTTTGCATAAATTGTCCTTAACTTTCATAGACCAACCTGTTATGTTAAAATTAGTGTCCATAATTACATCCTCGTATCCGTAGCATCGATGGGGTCAAGTTTCGTAAAGATGGTAGCAACTCTATTTTCAGTGACATAATTTTAAATACGAAGCTAACTGAAATCACGTACCCTTAGTAACTATTTTACGATACTACCCGTACGAAAAAAATCGTATAATTCCTGAAGAAAATTCGTGTCGATTTCTGCACAAAGTTTGTACCGCAAATTGGCCCTATTCACTGAAGAAACATTTGTGCAAAAAACTTTCTGCCAAAATTTTTATGCAGAATGAGCTCTGCAGGATGTTTTATGCAGGATGATAAGCCCAAATTCCTGCAGGATGTGTTATGTATGCACAAAAATATTGTAGAATAATGCTGAATTGAATTCTCCAAAATTAAATTTCATTTTATTATTGTTATAATTAAATAACATACAGAAACTATTCATCAAGTATTAATTTTGTGAGAATTTACGTGGCATTTTGAAACTTTCGGGATTCCTCGCGAAGAAAATCGGAAAGTGATTTTGTTATGTCCCTCTTAAAGCGCTTCCTGGCTTTTGAAAGCGATTTGCGTTCTGCTATGCTGAGTCCAACGGGGGGTGGCGTATCGAATCCTTCTTCCTTAATAATGTAGCCTGTAAACAAATCATCCCAAATAAAAACTCAACTGGTACAAAATTGCATTTTTTTAAATTTGACGTTACGTTTCATTCATCGCTTACCAATTACTGCATCTCGACGAGCGGGGTCTATTTCTGGTAACGGGAGAGTGGCATTAGCATTGCATTTCTTTCCATACAACGAATGGCCCGTAAGTTCCTCTGCACTAAAAAGTCTTCTGAAGAGGTTTCGGGCCAAAACCGATGATGACTGTGACGACATCATTTTGATGGATGCAAGTTCAGCTACGTTCATCTTTACTCCAGTTCCTTCGTACAGCTCAACCTGAGAACCGAGCCGGCAAATTATTTATAAATTTTAACAACCAAAGTTGAATAATCGTAGCTTTTCAATCAATTAATCTATCTACCACACTTACATCTGCCGTCTCGTTGGTTTTGTTGAGAAGTTCCTTATACTTTCTCTTTAACTCTCGATATTTAGTTCTCAGGGATCTATATTTTCCTGAAAAACAACGTATAATTAACAATTTAAATCCTATATTTGCTATGGTATTGATATTAAACACCTTTGTATTCATTCGTTTCGGTCGTTTCATTCGATTCTTCCTGTTCACCTTCCAAGTTATGTTGGTTACTGTCATCTGCTAGAATGCCCTCGATAGTTGAAGAGTCGACTTGGGATAGGATATCACCTATCTTTCGGCTTCGGTCCGATGATTCATTTCTGCGAGATTTCTGCTTCTCTGTTAAAACATGCAAACATTTACATCGTACGACGCTGAATAATGCAACAACTGTAAATGCAACCTATTTTCAAAATTGCCTTACTTAGAGGTACATCCACGGAAATATTAGAACGCTTTCTAGTTGGCTCGACCTTTTGTAACCTTTCGTCGTCACTGACCTGAGCTGCTCGCTCATCTGCTTCTACTGTTAGCTCATCGCATCCGCCTTAATACAGTATTATTTTAAATAATTATTTAAATTACTTAGTTTATTTCGTAAAAATACTATAAATAAATCACACTACTTACCAATATTTAGTATCCTCCCTAAAAACTCTTTTCCTCGTGTCCAAATAATTGATTTGGTCTTCCCAATTAGTTTCCTTCCGCTTGATCTCAAACCACCATCAGCTAACTGGTCGATTGACACGACAGAAAACGTTTTTGGGTCTTCATCTACCCACTCAATTAGTAAGTAATCCATAGTTTTATTATTTGTTTAATTAAAACACAACTTTTTCTTTAAAAGCGTGAGTTTTAAGGGAATTTATGAGTGTTTTCACGTAGGGCTTGCAGTTAAATTACCCACCACTTCTGCATCGCAAGATTTAGTGCTGAGCGGGGTGAAGTAATATATTCTTTGCTATTCGGTTGACTAAGAAAATTTTACTCAGAATTTTTTTTTATAAGCATTTATCAACTTTATAATTGTTATTATGTCGGGTCGAAAATCTTACAAGAATTATTTTCGATCACCTGGTGGCGAATATTCCACGACAGTTCCTAGAAGAACGAGAGCAAGAGTGATGTGCATGGTAAGAAAAAGTCAAACGTAGTTATAATCTCAAATATAACAATAATCATTCGAATAATTTGTTCCTGCCTCCCAGACCTCAAGAAGGTCTTTAATCACGTCCGCTTCACAGCATGATAACGAGACTCGAGGACTTGACGATGAAGCCCTTGATGACAGTATTGACGCTGGATATGATGAAAATTCTACTAATTTCGAACAGAATCTGGTGTGTACATATTCTACGACTTATAATTTATAATTACGAAATATAATTCTTACTTAAATTTAATCGCAGAACGAGGACGAAAGTCAACCAAATATAAGCGATGACGAAAGCAGCTTTCTCGAGTCAAGTGACGAGGACACAATACCTGTGAGTCACCCATTTCCGCACGTCATGTTCCTAAATATTCAATTAACAATGCACTTTGTAATAGGAAGATCTGGCAAATCTACTATATCCGACAGCAAAAGTTACATCTAGAGAAAGTTGTTTATTAATATTCGCCTTTGCAATTCGCCATAAATTAACAAAATCTGCCATGAATGACCTCCTCAGTCTTATCAATTTTCATCTGCCATTTGGAGCAACAATACCTTCATCTACCTACCTGCTAGATAAATCGATCGGTTTAGATTTGGTTCTGCAACTAAAAATATCGACCGTGAACAATGTGAATCTTTAGTTGAGGGCAATTCGGAGCAATGCAAATCATGCCAGACTGTCCTCGAGCCAAACCAACTTGTAAAAAACGGACGGTTTTTTGTCTTTCAAAATTAAAAACCTAATGGAGAATCTTTTGCAGAAAGTTGAAGTCCAGAGATCACTTTTGAAAAATATAAATCGACGGTCAAATCCTTGCAATGCTGACATTCACGATATCACAGACGGAAACTTGTATAAAAGGCTTAGACTTAAACCATCAGATATAACCTGCTCAATGAATTCAGATAGAATTGCAATTTTTAAGTCGTCCCAATTTTCAACATGGCCACTACTGATCTCTATCAACGAATTGGATTATCCTCTCCGAAGGAAAAATACTCTGCTGGCTGGACTTTGGTTTGGAAACAAAAAACCCAACTTTAACACCTTTCTGGGACCACTGGTTGATCAGAGTCAAGAGTTAGCCGAATTTGGAATTGAATGGAAAACTGATAACAAGGTGTATAGAAGTAAAGTCTTTTTTACTATGTTTTCTGCCGATTCTGTGGCCAGATGTCAAATACAATTTATAAACCAATTCAACGGAGAATACAGTTGTCCTTGGTGCTTAGTTAAAGGGGAAACTTATCACCTCAGTGAACGAAGCCATAAATGGATTTTCGATCCTACAGAAAAAGCAATCAACCGCAGTCATACTCAATTCACTAATCATCTGCGGAGTCTTCAAGAACAACTAGAAAATGGGACTTCTGTATCCACAGTGTTTGGTGTAAAAGGAGCTTCAAAGCTTTTGCTAATTCCAAAATTTGATATAGTCCAAGGATTTACATTCGATTATATGCATACGTGTTTGCTGGGTGTTGTTAGAACGCTAACACTGGCGTGGTTGGACTCGAAGCAACACAATGAAGAGTTTTATATTGGAAATCGATCAGAAGAAATTAACATGAGGATTAAATTGTGCAAAGTTCCACTTGACTGTAGACGAACATTACGTGGACTTAAGGACGTCAAGTATTGGAAAGCCAGTGAATGGAAAACTTGGATGCTAATTTCTGTGCCTATTTTGCATGGAATATTACCTAACTGCTATAGGAAACATTTCGGCAAACTTGTTACTGCCGTCTGTCTTCTTTCCCAAGACCAAGTCAAACACGAAGACAGCCTTGTCAGCACGCCGTCACGTGAATTTTAATATATTTTCCAGTCGAAAACTTAATGGCCATTTACACGTCGGAAAATCTGAAAAAATTCGTTCTTTTCGAACTTAAACTTGATAAGGGGGTGGAGGTTGTACCATCAACGCGGATTTCAAAGGAAAAAACAATTTGTAAGTTTCCTGATCCAAGCGCTCTTCCCGGAAAGAATTGGATCAATTACGAAATATTATACGTCAGCACTTACGGTAAATTAATTTTATGTTCAAAATCATGTTAATAAAATTATTAAATTTATGCAATAAAATCATTTTCCATTTGTAGATTCATATGATAAGGCAACGAAGAAATTCAGGAAATATATTGAAGACCGACCCATTGACTCGAAAGCGAAATGAAGCGAATTGAAGCGAAAACGAGCAACCACGACGGCGAAGGCGTAAAATACCTGCTAAAGGGCGATCACTCCGGAGCCACCATCTATTGATTCTCGTCGCGAAAGTAAGCAAAACAAGATTATTTCCGTTACTACATATCTAAAAACTTGGTATTGATTCCTACTATAATAGAGATTCCTTCGACTTCAAGTATCTATCCTTTCAAGACTTGGTGGATCAGTCTTTCCTAAGGATTTGTATGCAATTCTTTATCATATGATAGTGAGCGATATTCGTAGTGGAATTCGGTTAACAGGAAGGAGCAATAAAGTTCCTTTTGCAGATAGATTATCGGATAAGCTTGTTCGAGGTCTGTTAACTTACTAATTGAATAACTATTTATATTTGTTATGAAAAGAGTACCAATATTTCTTTTGCACATTAGATTCTGTCCAAGCGGGAAATCCAGATCCTTCTGTTAACCACTCAAGAATCAATTCCTATAATGGAAGTTGGTTCTGGATGAAAATGATTCCAACTAAAAACGATGTTGACTTCACGACAAACGCAGAAACGCCGAGTGGAGAAACGTCTTCAACAAACGCGGAAACGGAAACGGACGAATTCTCCCCACTACCCATTGAGGACGACAACTCAGCTCGGAATTCCCCACTTCCCGGAACAAGTAGTTAGCCACCAGATTAACGAGGATAGTGGTGTGAGAGAGGTGATTAATATAAATGACATCAATTCGGTATATGATAATTTAAATTTGAGTAGTAACTAAAATAGATATAGAACAATATCCTTGTAAGAGCTCGAAATTAGATATTTGTATTTTGTGTGACTTATCTCAAAGTTGTATTGCAATTTCGTCATTCTTTGAGCCGAAAATGCATAATTTTGCCCAGAAATGAAGATAAATATTTTTGTACCCCAATGTATAATTCATCTTTATAATATTTAAATAGTATTGTAAGACGATAATAACTTATGTATGCATAAATGTTGTTATTTGAGAAATTGGGTTTGTAATAAATAGCAATTTAAATTAGAATAAGTGTGTAAATCAATTTGTGTTAATTTCACGCATATCATTAGTACATAAATTGGACGAGATTCGTATAAAAAATGTACTAAATTCTCACTCCATTAATGCATATTAATCATCACCAAATTCCTACTGGATTCGTACTTCTATATTTGCGTTAATTTTGTATACTTGTAGTGCAAGTAAATATGCACTGACAATTTTTTAGCATCACATTTGTAACTGTGAACTTGCACCAGATTTGTAACAGCAAATTTCACATTTTAACGGAAAATCTGCATTAATCTCTAAGTACAAGTTTTGTACATAAATTGCAGACCTTGGTTCGTCAGGACCTCATTAATGACCCCATACAAATTTACCCAAAAATAGCCTTCCACCTTATGTAACGCCCACTTTGTCCATACCACATTCATTTAGTATTTATTACAATTTCCTTACCTGAAGCTAACGTTAGCCGGACGCCAGAAAAGTCTGGTACAGTTTCAGACACAACTTTTCCAATGGCGTTTCGAAAGTTGGGATTCTTCACACATTTCGAGTTACAATGGCTAAAAGATCTCGGGCTGACGTGAAATCCTAACGCGGGAAGGCTTCTTGTCACGTACGTATTAAGAATTTGAATACTGCTTCCGCCGCATTGTGAACCACTGTACAGTTCGACACATCCGAGAGAAACAACTAATTTTGGGTTGGTCATGGTGGCAATTTCTGTAGGAATTTGTCCACATGTGTTGCTTAAATTTCGGGAAGTAAATTCAGACGAGTTGAACAGCCACCGATTACCTATCCATAGATTGAGATACAATATTATAAATAATTTTTAAGCCAACTTAGTAACATTTTCTTCAATAACGCTTGTCGGAGGCTTACAATAAAGAAGTTAGATATTTTAAAAAATGACGCCATTCTAATTATAATTAATCTAGCGTAAAAAGGAACGATGAAAAAGCCAAGTTTTTCATTTTTCATTTTTATTGGAAATTTGGATAAACGATTACTTGAATTTAACAAATACATAAGTTGTCAAAGCTCACAACCAAAAACCCCGTTTCCCCAGATAATTGTTCCCCCCCATTTCCTCACCATTCATCCAATGGTTTAAGTCATAGCCTTTCCCGAAGGTGAAAGCGTACTCTTCCACATTTCGCCAGTTTCCAACGCCCTGTTGAATCAAACACTTGTCACAGTTACTGATCGATTCCACGCGCAGATTTCTCCCGGTAAAATACGTCGTTAAATCCGAACTTCCAGTTGTCTCATTTCCCTCAATTTTTAAAACACTGGATGAGTTACAATTATTATTCTCGTAAAGTATCACACAATTTCCGTAAGTCCTAAGCGATCCGACACTGGTCCGAGGTAAGTCTGGTAGACAGCCGTTCACCGTTAGGTTGGTCGTGTTCCCTAAATTTGTGGACAGATCATATCTCTTACATTAATAATATTAATATAATATCTAATAGAATTACTAACCTTCAAAATCTACTTCAGTGGTGACAGATATTTCAAAACAGTTTACAACTGTTACACATATAATTATAAATAGGTGGCGAAACAGCATTTTCATTATTTTAATTCAATATTAGAGCTGAATATATATTTTTTGGATAAATTGACACGTATAGTAAAACAACGTCGTCATTTTAATTCAATTATTTAGAATGGATTTCCTCCTTGAGAATTACTTAGTTTTAAGTGCACTCGGAATTACAGAGTTTTTTTCGCAAGAGGAAAACCGCACGTAGGAGACGGAAGTGAAGTTGATAATGCACAGCAGGAGGAAATTGGAAATTGCTAATAAAACAACTCATATATGGGTTGGAGACATTATGATAGCATTTGCAAATTTATCTCAATTTATGACGTATTCAGAACTACCAACAAAGTTGACGTCAATTTTTGATATCTCTACCAGGGTTTTATTCCAAAATTTACAACCCACGGGTTTTAATGGGTTGTATAATAAAACCAATAAAACTTTCAATGGGTTTCTTAAAAAAATATTTTATAGCTAATTTAAAATTAAATGCAACTATATCTAATTCGTCGTTAAGCATGTACATATAAAGAAGTTTTAGTCTTTTTAAGAATTTTTTTATATCAATTTTGACAAGGCTTAACGTTCATCACTGATTTTCATGAGATTTACGTGAAAATGGTAATAATGAAATACGCTTCACATTTGAAGGAAAATCACTTTTCCAAGCTATTGACTATCTTTTTCACTTTTAAAATGCAAGTTTATGTTAAAACTATTCAAAATACGAATAAACCCCATTAAAACCCAAATAAAACCACATAAAGCCCATTTAACATGGTCAAACCCGTTGGGTTTAATATACCTACTATTCAGGAGGGGTGTCGGACACCCGGTGTCCGCTTCATGCAAAAAAAAGATAAAATTACTTAAATGTGTTTGGTACAAAAAGTACAGTAGAAAAACAACTTTTATTTCAAACAAAGCACTATTTATCAGTCAAATCAATTGCTTAGACGAAACATTACTATTTTTATCAACAGAAAAATTAAATAAAAGAGTAGCCACGACAATCAATGACGATTGGTTGTCGTGGCAACCATTAATTAATTAACCACACCAACTTACCAATTCAAATTTAAATTATTCACTGGAGAAGAGAGAAAGACGACTGCTGCGGCTGGAATGTGACTCGAGTCGAGAGAACCGCGTTGCTCGTGACAACGTGAGTCTCACTTTGCCGAGTTGGGTAATAGCATGAAGAGGAGAAAAGCATTGAGATGAGACTGCGCGAAGTCAAATTCGCACACACACAGACAGACTGCAGCATCAAAATCTTTAATAGATAAATTTGTAATCCATTAAAACCCATTAAAACCCTACAACCCATTAAAACCCTACAACCCAATAAAACCCTGGGTCAGAATACCATAATCTCTACTCGAGAAACATATCTCAAAATGAAATATCTTCAACATATGGAAATTAAGTGGCGACACAATAATGTGAGCGGAACTGACCTAAATTTATTGACAAATTTGGTCGTGAAAAAAACAACAAATGCATATGTACATATTTGGATAAATTCAAATTTGCCGCTTCAATTTTTCAACGTAAGTATACTCCCAGGTTATGCATCTCCTTCCCATTTCTTGCCGTACTCTTTGAGGGGAAGACTGTCCCAAAATTTCCAGCTGTTTTGAAACGCATCATCTACCTCAGTCATTATCGGAGTTTCGTTAATTTGTAAATACTCCTGGCGCTTATTAGCTTTTAGCGGGGTCCACTCGGATGTCAGATCGCCCCAAAGTTTACCAGGTTTCCTAAACCAAATATGGTATCGAGTTTGATTTTCTTTTAAAAATAGCGGGCTTAATTTATAAATCTCAAGTTACCCATCCTTCGCAAAAGAGGCCCAAAGGGAGACAAAGCTTTTAGAAAAATCATAATTTGTGCTATCCTTTCCAATTTTTTTGAAAAATTTTTCCAATGGCGGTCTCGGTTCGAAGAGGTATGGCAGCTCGTCGGCGTGTATGGGAAGTCGCTCATCAGTCGAAGTTGTATCGTCCTTAGTGACATCTTTACCTAGAAATTGCAAAAAAACTAGTAAAATTCGAACTATTAAAATTTTAAAATTCCTGAAAATCTCCAATTTACCTTCCTGACTGCCCGAAATCGCCGCAGCTTCCAATCCTCCCGCACTGACGGGCTCAATAATTGAAGGCATACACTGTCGTAAAATTTGCATAGGCCGCCGCAACTTTTCGCGTACAATATGTGATCGATCTCTCCGAAATTAATCGATCCAAATCAGTCACACTTTCCCCGGTGAGTTCTGAACCGCCAAAATAAAATTTTCGAATCTGCTCAGTCACGATGCTCGGATCTTCTGCGGTGTCATGGTAGAGGAGCGAGGAGGGAAAGATGCGGCCGAATTTTGCGTTTATTTTCTTAATTTTTGCGGGTGTGGAAAGCACTGTAAAATATTAATGTTAAAAATCGGTTCGTGGAAGGGGCCGTTCGAAAAATAAGTATCGCCAAAATCGGGATTTTTACAACCCCCGCCCCACTGCTCGGGGCAAGATAAGAATTTTAAGAAGGCAGAGATAAGCGACCGCCGTCCCTTTTCTTGCATTACGTATTTTATGAACGTTCCCAACTATTTCCAAATTTTATTTTTTTCACTCACTCCCCTTCCCATGGTTCCTGTTTCATGCGCCACAAACCCAATAATGATTGGAACCTTGTTAAATTCCCCTTTTTGCATCAGACTCCACGGGTCCTCACTTAAGAATGTGTAATTATCGCCATCCTCAGCTTTATACGTTTCGATCGTTGGACTCATGTGGACCGCGTTTGAGTCGAATCCCTGCAAAAAATAGTTCTTTTTATTTCATCAAAATTTTAAATTTTCAAAATTTCCGCCACTTACGAATTCATTAAAGGAAAGCGACTTCACGGCGAGCAGCTCAGGTTTAATTTTCTGCAGACATTCTACCAAATATTCAGCATTGCTGGAGGGACAGTCAAGCTCAGCGGCAAGTTTTTTCGCTTCTTTAACACCCGTCCCGGCACGCGTGACGTAGGGACATGTGGCGGTCCCGCTTTGTAGAATGGCGCGATGGAACAAACCTAGAGTAGGTGGCAAATTTTGAAATTTTGAAAATTTTGAGAAATAATAATTCATTGTACCTTTCGCCATTGGGGATACGGTTAATAATGACACTGCCGCACCGCCAGCACTTTCTCCAAAAATGGTGACTATTTAAAGAATTAAAAAAATATTTGCAAATAAATCCTCAAATTTGCACACCGGCAAGTAATCTTGTCGTCGCGAATTTAGAAACTTTATGAAAGTTGAAAGTCATCTTACTTATTTTTGTCACCAGAAAATGCCGCAATATTCTTCTGCACCCAGTTTAACGACATCACCATATCTTTCAAACCCTGATTCCCACGGGCTGATTTTACTCCAGCATTCAAAAATCCTGGAAATATACCAATTCGATTTTAAGCGGAATTACTTAATTCACTCAAAAAGCGTTCAAAAATCCTGGAAATTTATCAATTCAATTTTAGCGGAATTTATAATTCCTTTCTGAAATTTAAAATATTTACCAAATGCTCCCAGCCTATAAGTCACCGTTACCAAGACGACATCTTCTTCCATAAAATATTTTCCGCCGTACATTCCCCCCGCTCCGTCCACAAATCCGCCACCAGTAAACCATACCATGACTGGGAGAAGATCGGTATTATCTTCACCCAATTTTAACGGCTAAGGATAAAATTTATTTATTTTTCTCGTAATTTCTCAGAAACTTTAAAAAAAATATTTTCACACTTTTGGTGAATAGACGTCCACCGTAAGGCAATCTTCTGTCCCCGTATATCCAAAGACGACTAGGCCTTGTCTCGTACACCCGGTACCGGAATCAGTCACATTTTTCACATCCGTCCAGGATTTTGCTGGTTGAGGAATCTTGAGAGAAAACATATTTCTTAAATTTCCTAAATTTTTCCACAATATTCAAGCATGCAAATAAATTCAAGAATGCAAATAAATTAGCGATTTTTAGAGAAAAGTGTCCTTTTATATTTTTTGATACAACTTTTTCCAAAAATTAAAATTGCAGAATTAAATCATATAATAATATTTTCTCAAAAATTTCAACTCACATCAAATCTTTTTTCCACATGACCGTACGGAATTCCTAGAAACTGGCTGTACCTCCTCCCCTCCCTACTTTCTACAAAGGAACCGGCCAGCCGTCCCGTGTTAATTTCCACCTCTGGGTAACCAACCTCATCACAATTTTCCGCACAACTTGCACGATAAATATTTACCACCACAAATATCAATACAGAAATATGCCGACTCATTTTGCAACAACCTCACTCCACCAGGCTCACTCGTGAACTGTCGACTCGGATGGTCTGGTTCAGAATAACTTGCCACAGACAACCTTGGCCATGACTGCTATCATGTGACGTGCAACGTTGCAATGGAAGTTTCACAAAAAAAATCTTATCGCAAACAAATATTAATATTTATAATGGGGTTTTTCACATCACGACACCTGCATGAATACGCAAACGTTTCTAACTTGTAATGATAAATAAGTAGACTTGCTAAATTCTCCACATATGCATGTACTTCGTAAATATAGATTAAATCTGTATTTTTTTCTAAAATTTTAATCATCTTTAGTGAATACCCCTAATAAAAAAATGCATCCCAACCCAAACTTTCTCGGAATTCTACACGAGAAAAAAAACTTATTTGCTTAATCACTCATAATTAAATCTAACTCAGGCATCTCCACCAACATAACTCTTAGCATCAAACAGAGAGACAGAAAAAAATACCCAATAACCTCGACTAAATTGCATTACACAGAGCAGCACACATTGCACTACAAAAACAACAAAGTTACCATGCCAAAATACATACTCTGCAGGATTGCTCCATGCCATGCAAAAAGTGCCACACTCATCATCTCCATAAACTTTCCATGGCACAGAATACCCAACAAGACGCCGCGGAACCTCATGTGGACATTGCCACATAGAAATTTCCTATCGCTTCAATATTAACAAGCCCCTCCCCTGCCATCCCACAATGTTAAAACCCCCCAACTTGCGCCGACCTTACAAATCCACATCTTGTCATATTTTTTGTGATGCACGTAATGTGCATCGTCACTTGCTTCTCTGTCCAGTATCAGGGTCGACCTTCAACCACAGACTTTGGTCCACCGTATTATTTATCCAACTCATTTAAGGTTTATCGCAACGTTTTTCTCAATCTGTTCCACTTCATCTCAACGTTTACAACTAATTTTGGGTATAAAATTAAGTCTGGAATTGACAACAATTTAATTTCCATGGTTACCGTGTCCAAAACCTGGGCAATAACTAAATACTTAATCGAGCTTATTTCCAAAATCATGATTTCTCTCCCCATCCTTATCACCGCGTTTGTCGGGGCGGTCATTTACTACACGTTTTTTGTCAGGAGGAAAAATAAATTCAAATTGGGCGGGAAGTTTCCGGAAGGTGAGTTATTACATTAGAATAAAATTTATTTAATCAAAAATTATGCACAACAATCAAGTGCGTTAAAATTTCGCATGCATTCATTTAACACAAATCAATGTAAAAATTTATTCAATACATGAACAACTAATTAATTTAAAAAATGTGAAGATTCCCGATGATTAATGGATTTTTATTTAACAAATTAATTTTGACTTTCAAAATAAAAACTGCATACATATATACTAATTTATTCAAAATTGTTAAACTATTAACACCTTAATGATTTTAATTCAAATAAAATTTTCATAGTTAATTTTTCTAAAAAGTTTTCTAAAATATTTACCAGGTCCTCGAGGACTCCCATTTATAGGAAATATGCACCAACTCAACAAGACACATCCTTTCCTCTTTCCTGCAAAATGGGCAGAGCAATACGGAGATATTTACGCGATTTCGATGGCTGGAGTCAAGTACATACGAATTGGAACACCTAGTGTGCATTAAAACTTAATTAAAAATGCCCATTATTCAATATTTTGCAGAACGTACGTCATCTCCGACTATAAAATGGTGAAGGAGATTTTCTCCCAAGAACCTGCCTTCGCCGGACGTCTTCAGACAGGAGGAGAAATTCCGTTAAGCGACTTGTACACGAATGGACAGCTTCATGGTGAGGAATAATTGTCAAGAACTTTAAGTATTAATTATTTTTAATATTCGTATTTTTAATTTTCATATTTAATATTAAACACGATTAAACCTGGAGGCATAAGAATTAGAAGTTTATCTCATCTATTATTTCTAAAATAACTTATTTTAAATTTTAATTTTAATTAAATTAATTTAAAGTTTGATTTTTACTAAGGTATCATAAACACGGAAGGCAAACCATGGGAAGACCTCCGCCGCTTCACCCTCCGCCAACTGCGTGATTTTGGTTTTGGCAAAAATACGATGGAAGCCTTCATTATGGACGAAGTTATGGAAGTCCTGGACTGGATGAAATCAGTCGAAGAGGAATCAATTCCCGACATTAAGAGCAAGATAACTGTCGCTGTCGTCAACTCTTTGTGGATGGTCATTTCCGGTCACCGCTATAAGCATGACGATCCAAAGATATTGGACTTGTCGAAAGAATTAACGGTGTAAGTGAGATGAGGGAAGTCTGAATTTACTAAATGCTATTTAAAAAGGGGCTCGATTATTAAAAAAATACAGTAGTTTTACGTATAATTCAAATTCTACCGCCATGACGGCATTCAAACTTTTGTGTTTGTTGAATGCTATACTCCAGTGTTTTCCCAAGAAAACATTATTTAGTCATTTTCCGACTTATTGTCTATTTTTTAAAATTGTTTAAAAAAATCAGTCACGGATATTGTATTATACACAAATCAATTTTTTCGTACCAGTAGTGATTTAGATAAGAACATAATTGGTTTCTGTAACTAAATATTTTCAGTATCCATAATTATAGTCTATAACAATTAAATTTTTCAATGTTAAATTCAAGCATTAAGAATTTCAGAGTTCTTGAAGAAGCCGCATCAAGTGGTGGGATAGCCTTTTTTTGGCCGTGGGTGGAAAAACTGGGATTTCAAGGCTTCACTGCGTATCGCAATTACCAGGAAAAAATGAGAAACCTCTTCACTGATGTGGTTCGGGATCATCAAGACACTTATTCTGCGGATTACTCGAGGTAAAAATTTTTAATAGCTATTTGTTTTATCTATCTGACCCCAATTAAATTTTACAAAATTTTTGCAGAGATTTTATCGACGTTTTTCTAAAAGAGGTTAAATCATGCGATGACCATGACTCCGCTTTCTTCAAAGACGTCGGAGGTACTTGAGAATATTTTGTCTGCCGCCTTATATTCAATCTTTTTGTAAAAGTCCAGCCACAAAATCTGCTTTAAACCTGGGTTACACATTTTCCCTTAAATTAAGTGGGAAACGAGAACTCAAAGTGTCCTTTTCCAATTTGTCCTCTGTGTATCCTTTCCACTTAAAAAATACTTTAATCATTTTAAGAACGACAACTCATCGCCGTTGTGAAAGATCTCTTCGAGGCTGGGACCGAAACATCGTCGACCACACTATCTTGGATTTTCTTGTACATGGCGACCTTTCCCGAAGTACAGAAAAAACTACAAGAGGAGATTGACGATGTCGTTGGAACTTCTAGACTTTGCTCTATTTCTGATCGACCAAAGTAATTTTTCTAAATATCTCAAAATATAATTGAAATTAAAAAAACTATTTCTAAATATCTCCATATTTCAGCCTCCCCTACGTCGAAGCCTTCCTCGCCGAAACGCTCCGCTACTCCTCCATCGTTCCCGGCGGTGTTGGACATCGCGCCCTGTTTGACGTCGTCTACAAAGGCTACGCATTTCCTAAGGGTACCGCAATAATGCCGAATCAGTACGGAATCCATTTCAACCCAAAGATCTGGGGCGATCCGCAAAACTTCCGGCCGGAACGATTCCTATCTCCGGATGGCAAATCGTTCAAGAAACACGACGCCCTCATCGCATTTTCTACCGGAAAACGTCAATGTGTTGGCGAAACGTTGGCGCGAGACACGCTTTTTCTCTACACGTCAAACATTTTCCAAAGATTCCAAATAAAATTTGACCCAAATAAGGCCAACTCTAATCCTGGTTTTGGATCAATGGCAGGTTTCGTTATGTCGCCGCTGCCCTACAGTATTGTTCTAAAAGATAGGACGATGTAATTATGACTGGTAATCCAATGGTGCATAAAATTATGAAGTAAAGTGATCATTAAGTAATTGAGATAGATAATTATCAAAAACTGTACTCATGGATATATCTTTAAGCAGTTGGGTTGAATAAACTAAAATTTGATAAGCCCACTTAGCAGTTTTAACGGTATTCATGAATCATCCTAAGATACCTCGTACATATACTGACATATATGTCATGAAATTTGCTGGATTTACACTTCTCGAAAATTTACTTTTCCTTTGTTTACCAACCAAACTATATGATTTACTTAAGGACTTCTAAATATTTAATTAAATATCCGATCGAATTATAATCTGAATATTTTCCTTAGGTAAATATGATGTCGACCATATATGTAATTTCCTTTTGGATAAGAGAATCATTATTGAATCTTAAGTTTAATATCATACATATTTTATTACACAAGGATCATTTACATGACCAAATTTCCTGACTGTAAATAAGACTCAAAACTATGGCAATTACATTTGAGAGATTCAACCGTTCTACATAATTCATACAAAATGTTTTTTTGCGTAATTGACTGTTTTGTCCGTCCCTGTTTTTAATGTACACGCTTATGTTCTAAACGCCAGCTTTCTATAAAGGCAGCGATCCACCGTCCAAGGTTTGAAATTCCTTCGTTGTGCAATTTAAGTGTGCGGGACGATTGAATCTTTTTCCAGAAATAATTCTGCCTGTTGCAGAGCTCGAATTATATTATTGTTGTGTTAATATTCCTTAATATGAAATTGACTGTAATGTTTACCTGATTTATATTAATTAGATAAGCATTTAAGGGAAATTTCTCCATTTGTTTACATAATCAATCGTACATTACATACTATCCTTTATCTAGGCAATAAGTAATATAAACATGATCTATAGCATTTATGTCTCCAATATCCTGTATACCCCCGGATATTTCAGATAAACAGTTATTCTGTTATATGATATCAGGCAGCAATGTAAATATTTATTAACCATTTCGCGAATTGAAGCGTTTTAGTAGAGTTTTAAGACCACATTCTGCATAACAAAACAATTAAATATCCTCAAATTTTATGCAATGTTGCGATCAATCCTTCCGCAGATTCAAGTTCAACTCAGAATTCTACGAATTTCTAATTCCAAACCGATACATTATTCCCCACTGCGACAGAAATTTTTTACCAAAAAACTGTCCAACATTTCCGCGAAACTAGGATTAGTATCCTCAACACAATTAATCCTTCTTCTCAATGGGATCTCTTACCTGAAGGAATTCAAGATGTCACTTGCTCGACTAATTTTCGTCTTATTTTTTACCAATTCAATTCCAGTCGCAAGTTTGACGTTGTTTTCTTTATATCGCGAAACCAAACAAATTGTCGCCTTGCTAAATAATCTATTAAATTTTGAAGAAAGGCACGAAATTGTGGGAAAGTCGAGTATAATGGGAATAATTTTAAAATTCACATTGTCTTTCTTTTCTATATGGGGTTTGGTACTAACTTTTGTATGTGCAGTGTTTTCAATTTTTGAGCCAACCTCGGTCCCGTTCTTGACTTCAGCGGTTTCTAGAATATTCTTGAAAAATACATCCCAAAGATGCTTTTTAAACATGGTTGTATACCTTTTGGCATTTTTGTTACAAATATGGACCAACTTTCTCATAGTTAACGGATTGATTACCACGGCATTGCATATCGTTTTGACATCCGTGGTCTGCTTGAACACCTACATGAAAAAATTGCAAATAGTCTCGCCTACAGTATATTCCCAGTGATAATGATGTTGTGCATACTGGTAATCATGATTGTTGGAACTACCGCGGGTAAGGCAAGCCTTCTCTCCACAAAATTCCTTCGTCAAGCAAAAAATACATTGAGTCTCAAGCACGGACACCATGAACGGCGTAAGGTCAGCGCAAGGATGATTCGAAGTTGTCAAAAGATAGAGATCAAGTGTTTCGATACTCCTGTAACGATAATCACACCACTCTTGATAATTGTGGGGTGTAACAAGTTCACGGTGAAGGTTGGCCTTTTGGCATGAAGGGTAGCAAGAAAGTGGTAACTTTATTTAAACGTAAATTTATTGGAGAAGTCATCTTAAGTTTAACTTACTTAGATAATTAAGTAGTTACGGTATTTTATTAGAAGAGCCTGCGCGCCATAAGGAGTGCATGTAAAAAAGGCTCTTCTTTTAATATACAGACGTTAATTAACAATTTAGACAAGCTAAAGCGTACAAATTTGTTATTGTAATATTCTAACTAATCTGATTCATTTGTAAATTAAGTTGCCAATAAATCCCCAATCAACTCACTGGGACCATAACCTTCATGATACTTGCAAAGTAGTTAATACTTAATTAATATAGGCAGGCGTAATAATTTCTGGGCTCAATTTTGTATGGAATGCTATTTAAATTGATTGACAGTCATATAAGAAATAATTAATTTCGTAAATTATATTATCCTAGGCGAACTTGACATATGCTGACTGTCCCATTTTAACTTTTGGTCAGAAATGTATACATTATATATTATCGTGCCAAGTTATGGAAAAATTAAATTTTTATATACGTCAAACTTGTGCAATTTGTTGCTTGACTTGATAGTGGACTTGGGAAATAAACATTTCTCAGATATCTAAAATTTTACGGTAAAAAATTATAAGTAAATAATATTTAATAAAAAGTCTAATATAATTGTTTACAAGAACTATGTCAGCAAAGCTTTGGAGAGACATTAGTTTTCTGTAATAAAATCTCTTACATGTTTGCCAAGCTTTGTCCGCCTATCTGTCCGGGACAGGTGGACAAAGTCACTGGAAGGCGTTTGCACTGAATTGATAGTTAACAGGGGTACGCACATACTACATCGCTATGAATACCAGCATAGAGCTGGTGTATGCAGAACTCGCCAGACAAGAGCATATGCATCTACATATTTTGGGAATTAGGAGTTAGTAGAATAATATTTGCACAGAAATCAGGGCCCGTGACTGACAATGTCCTGATGTCATCATGAAGTAGCCTGGTATATTGAAACTAAATATATACCAATTTATTGTCTAACATTCGTCTGGAATGATTCCTTAATAAGCTAATGAAGTTGGTTTACATAAATCCCTAGTTTCGGAGAAAACAATTAAATTTCAGATATTTTGACATACGTTGGTTAAAGTTCATTAATTATTGATGACCGACTAGGGAATGTTCATAACTAACGTGGAATATTCTTTTGGACTTCTTCCTGTACGTTACCTCGTAGGGAATTTACCGAGAGGCGACCATCTTCTTGTGCTTCGTATTTTATGAACGTTCCCTGATTTGCATAAGAGAAGTAGTCTTACTAATAGGGATATTGGTATTATTTTCCCTTAATATTGTTAACCTGTTGCTAAATTCAATGTTGAACCGACTTTCTCAAAGTTTAATCTAACTATTTAATTTGGGAGAAAGTTTCCATCTTACAAGAAATAATGGTCTCTTACAACTACTGCCAAATTCTATATGGCAAAAGGTAAGCATAATTTATTCAAGCAAAAATTTCTCTGACGCAAAAGAAATTCCGCACTGCCGTCTCCGCTGTGTCAACGATCGCCTCAAAATCTTGCGAAATTTAGGAAAAAAATCATGGACGACCATTTCAGGGTGGTGCTCTTGTGGCAAAAGTTGTACATCGATTGTTACCCGTTTCTATATAAATTGCCCATTCGAATTCGCGCGACGAAGGGGCGGATCCACGTTGTCATAGTTCAGCGGCCCTTTGACAGAGTTCAAACCATGATCCCGCTCCTGATCATGGTCGCAGAGATGATTTTGCTAGTATGGGCGGCGTCAATCATTGGACCAGGGTTGGCCCGGCCAGCGATGGATGTGCGAATCTGGGCGTGGTCGTTTTGCGTCGTGTTAGGTCTATGTGGCGTCTGCATCTACTACTTGTGGCTGGTTGAGGGTAAGGAGACGTTAGTTTTTTGGGCGAATGAAATGCTACAGTTGGAATTGGACTTGAAGAGTGGTAAGTATTGTAACTTTATTGGGCGGTTAATGCAGGTAAATTTTGTAGGTTTCGACAAATTCTAATATTTTATCATAATTACGCTATCATAATTTTCTTTGAGATTTTGCCATTAAAGGAATGTACATAAATAATTGAGAACTTTATTAACTTTAAAGTTCAAAAGGTCAAATTTGGACAAGTAATTTGAGTAAAAAACTAAAACAGTGTTGGTTACTTCACTCTAATTTTTGCTCATATTAAAATATCTGAATTTTGCACCTTCAAGTTGATTGCATTTTCCAATAAAGAAAAAAATATTTGAAAGACTTATACCATCACTAGTAATCAGAGTTCCTTACAAGAACATCTTATTTTCAGAGACGAATCACTCCCTTAAAGACAACAGTCACGGACAAACCCATCTGGACGAGCTCAATCTCCTCGGCTTCAAACTGGGTGTCTGGATCGCCTACCTGCTGACGCCAATCGCCACCGTGATCATAATGGCGCTCGGATTAGATCCGCTATACTACATCGTGCAATATATGCTGCACGTTTCCCCACGTTTACCTTAAGCGACCTAATTCTGCATCTTGGCATTCTCTCGGGACGATTCTTCGCTGTCACCCTTGTGATTTATGAGGCTGAACGAATCTTCATAATTTGTCTTGTGACAATTTATACGGCAATTTACAGCGCGGAGTTGGTCGTACAACTTGTCAGGAAAGTAGTAGCGCGTAATTGGCGGAAAATTCAAACCGGCCTTTCTGCCCGACATATCCGGTTGTACGTCATTATTCAACTGGCCGTCCAAGCGGTTGCGGATATGGTCAAGGTAACTTCGTTAGTGGCCATACTCGCGGCAGCGGCAGTCCTGGTGTCGATTACGTTTGTCTCGGTAAAATTGGGACATGAGTTGCCGATCTATTTGGTAGTGGTATTAGCATCGGCGGGAGTGTTTGGGTTTCTAATGGCGAAAGCGTTACTGACCAAGGCGGGCAGGATGTTCAAAAATCTGGTCGAGTTATTGGGATCGTTTAAAGGGGTGGAGATTCTTAAGGGAATGACGCCTTCTGTGAAGATGGCCTACATGCGGGATGTTGGGAGGTTGTCGCTAATTAAAATTCCGATCGGGGTG